CCTGAGCAGTGTCCAGAAGTACCTCAAGGGAGGCAGTGAGGAGGATGGTGCTGGCCTCTTTTCATTGGTGGCCACCGACAGAACTAGAGGTAATGGCCACAAACTGAAGCACCAAAAGTTCCACAGGAACTTAAGGAAAATTTTCTTAACAGTGAGGGTGACAGAGCACTGGAACAGGCTGCCCAGAGAGGTTGTGGAGTCTCCTTCTCTGGAGATCTTCCAAACCCACTTGGATACAGTCCTGTGCCACGTGCTCTAGGTGACCCTGCGTGTGCAGGGGGGTTGGACTAGATGACCTCTAGAGGTCCCTTCCAACCTTAAGCACTCTATGATTCTGTGATTCTATGATTAGACATCGGAATTCCCTATCCTTTCTTTTGTCTTCACCCTTTCACTTTTATAGTTGAATGTGCTGCTTTATTTAAGAAAACCAAAGTGCCCTGGCAGGAGGGAAGCATAATACGAGCGTGTGCCCTGAATATGGAGAGTTCTGAGCACGACTCTGGCCCTTCTCCCTGCTGACCCATCTGCAGGACTTGTCAGGAGAGACTTATCATGCAGAGCAATCACCCTGTGGAACAGTGCAACTGTGCAAAATTAACTACTGAGGGATTAAAGTTAGACCAGTAACTTCTTTTTCCTGCTTAACTGGAATACTCGGACATGGCTCTCACCACAGAAAATGCTCATTGTCTCCATTACTCTGGTCTTTCCGTCTTTGGCCTCTTTTCCTGTCTGATGATACCTGTTTATACGTGTTGAGAAAATTTAGCAGTTTCCCACATTCTGGTTTTAGATTCATTTCTTGGCTGAGCTAAGCAGTCTGAGCTAAGATCTGTAGGTACATCTCAGTGCTTCTGAATGTGGATTTCAAACCTGAAGCTAGGTTACAAGGATGAAATTACAATTTAAATCGTGTCCTGTCTGATTTAAAAGGGAGATCTTGTATATCTGCTGAGGCATTTTATGTTTGCGCTAAAGGCATAAAAGACAAAATACTGCATCATACACTGGGACTGTGCACCCCACCACTAAGTATTTCAGCAAATAATAAAAGCTTCTTGCTGCTAAAAGAGCTATTAAGAGTCACAAAGCTAAATGAGATGTTCAGACTGGTACCAACTAAAATTTCCCTTTCTCCATTTCCCCAACATCCCTTCCTCACTGTGCCTAACCTCTTATATTTTCATGCAAGTTTTGCAGTAATTGTAACAGAGCTCAAATTGTTAAGAAACTCTCAGATCCTCATAATCTTCCTCAGACAGATAATAGTCACTTTTTAATGTGAAATTCTTACTGTACTGTATTCAAGCAGTGACTCCTTAATGCTGTTAAAGCACCTTTGTAAATTTAATGGTGTCACTGTGAATTATTAAGCTTAAATATTATAAATGCTTTTTATAAGGATTGCTTTTAGTTGATACTTTAATAACTTTAAAGCACAATGACAAATACAAAGCTGAACCTAATATCTCATGTAATCTTTTCAGAAAATAGTGCTTTAGCTGAAGAGTTTAGCACTGTCCAAGATGAGCCAGTCCAGCCAGCCTACCTGGCCTGCAAGAGCTGAATCAATCTGTCACGTTGGAACATGTTATGTTAATGCTGGGAAGTTTTGCTACCAATGTGCAATGTTATATTGCAACTTTCTGGCACATCCTCTGGTGTATAAGTTGGGTAATACACTTTCTAAAACTAGCAATGAAGAAATACAATTTGTATTTTTCCAAGCTCATGTTGTGGACCAGATCTACCAGTTTGGGTAGAGCATGATAAATCTGCATTTTGCCACACAGTCAAGGGCAGCTGCACAGCAGGAAGGGTTCAGTCCCAGACAGGAAGGGACTTGGAGATCCAGCTTGGATCCTTCAGGCACTGAGTGGCATTGAGAGAATCAGCAGAGCTCCCAGCTGGCTTCATTCTGCTGAGCAGTCTTGCATTGGCTGCTCCTCACATTTCCAAAAGAGAGGAGCTTGCCATCCTCTCCCATCCCTGTCCTGCCTATTATTAATTTTTTAAAAATTCAGGCTTTTTAGTGAAACTCCATATGGTTGTAACCTGTCTTTTCACCCATCTTCAACCACTATCAAAATCACAAGAAAGCAGAGGATGCCTTCTGGTTTGGTACACATTTGGGTAATCACTCTCAGTGTGGGCTTTCATGTTAAACAGTACCTACCTGTCTAATCTAGCGGTTTACTGAATGACAAGAGATCCTGGCAGAATGTCTGCTCTGTGTATGTTTGTAATGTAATCCTTGCATGCATAGTAATTCTGCAAAGTACAGGCCACTCCTAGCCTTTTGAGGCCTTTCATTTTTGATTCATTTACAACATTATAACCCATCAGACCATCCTCTGGGAGAGGCTTTGGATTTAAGACAGGTGCTTACTTTCTCCTGCCTTTGTTTCCAAGCACAAGCCCTTTGGCTTCTCTGTACTTCATACATAGGGAACTTAGCTATCAAAGTGCTTATAAGAAAAGCAGTCCATAGTTGTGTGGGAATTTCTGGCAAAGAGATGCTTTGTCTGATGTTACTTGCTATTGAGCAAAGGAATGAATAACTGGGACAGAACTAATTTGCATTTCTGTTTGGGGCATCTCAGTCAAGTTTGGATAAAGTTCAAATTTGGGGAGCAAACCGTGATCGTCTCTACTAGGTGTGAAGGAGCAGAAGGATCACTCACTATTGCAAGGACTAAGGTAGCCACCTCATGTCTCCTCTAATATCTTTTTCCAACAGGATGAACACAGAGAACACAAGTGAAATGGCATCACTTGGTGAGGCGCAAACAACCATCCCCAAACTCGCCACAGTGTGGAGGACTGGGCACGCTCTTGGAAAGTCAGACATGCAGTTCAAATTTCTTTAGGCAAAAGGAAGGAAAGAAAATAGATATTCCATGTCCAGTTAGAATGGTCTAATCACTAGGTCTGGGTAGAAAAGCAGAACTCTTCCACCACTCTTTTTATATCTCTGGCTCTCTTCTTAATTACAAGTACCGAACACCAGAACTAATTCATGTGAAAAAGCCTTTTGTTTTGATGAGAAGAACAGAATAGTATTCATTTTGGGTCAGACTGTCCTGAAATTTACTTTAAATTTTTCAGTTAAGCCATCAAACCAAAAATGTATTATTCATACAGTTCTTATAAATACCTCACTGAGGTGCTGGAAGGCTTAATTAAACACTATTTCTGAAGTAACTGGAGAACTACAGAAATGCTGCCGAAGATGCATTTATAGCCACTTCTTTCTATATCCCACTTTACTGTTAGCAATATGGGTGTCTTGTTTTCTCCCTAGTACTGAAGAATATTATGGCCACAGTCTCCTGGGGCTTCCTTCTATCCAGATCTAGTTATTAAGGCTGGTGTGATGCAAAAAAAAAAAAAAAAAAAAAGTACGACATAAAAACATACAAAGACCTATTGTAAAACAGCTCAAGATGTCAGAAAGATCGTTGGTACCTTTACTGGTTCATCTTGAATGACTAAGCCTCAGATTCCTGGATATGCAAACTCTGCCTACCTGGGTTTAGTTTTTAGCCTGAGCTAACAAGCTAGTAAGCTTTCAAAAAAGCTAGAGGTTGCTGGGCTTTGGCCAGGGTATATCAATGAAGTGCTCAAAATAATGCCATTACTTTGGATGGTTTGGGGAATCTGCAATTTTAAGAGGGGCTTGCAATCTCTGAGTTCACCATACAAGTGAATATACATGGTCTTTTGTGATGAGTGTGTTTGATAGGCATCTCTGCATACGCTACATTGTCCCTATTTGCTGTATCCACCCTCCAAGTATTTTCCATTGGTTCTTCTTTGATGCTCTTTGATCTCTGTTGCCACATCCACTGGTCCTCTTTCTATTTGCAACTCTGGCTGCTTGCTTTAGGTACTTTCCTACTCTGCAATCAGCTCTGAAATTACCAAATGCACAAAACTATAGAGCAGATTCTATCAAATGTCTGCCTGAGCTCTTTGATTCCATTCTTAACTGCTCACTTTGTTCCAATAAAGAAAGAAATAGAACACAGTTATCTAACCTTCTGTCTCTATGCATCTAGATAAATTCATCTGAATATTAACTGCCTTTGCACACTTGATTTCATCATGTCCACAGCATTTGAAGCCTAGCTTGGATCATTCAGCAGTACCAACAAGTGAGCAGGCCTCCCCCAGCCGTAACCTGCTTTGCTGGCCATTGAGCTGAAGAGGAGCAGCAGGAGTGGGCTGCGGAGCCGGGAACGCAGGCTGGGGGCAGCGGCTCGGCAGCGCCACAGAGAGAGGCCCAGGCAATGGCCCTCACCAATATGAGCAGTCCCCGCACGGTGATCTAGTTGAGCAGAGCTCAGCAGGTGCCAGGCACATCTACAGGGACCTGCCTATATCCCACCCTCATGGGCCTGACCTGGGGCCTCTCCCAGGGCCTCTCCCAGGCCCATGGCATAGGGGCAATGTGTTCAGCTCAGCTGGGGGCTTTCACCCCCGTCTGAGCTTTATTAAAGGAGTATTCGTCTCAGTTCAGCCATAGTGAACCAGACTGTGGCTGGTCATGGACCCCGTTAATCCAGACTCTGACCTGTCTTCTTGTCTTGATTTTGTTCCTACTTCTTTTTTATAGACCTGCCTAGGGATCATAGGCCTCTGGTTACCTCTTCTAGCCTCTGGACTCAGGCTTGTCCTTAGACCTGCCTCGTCCCCATGATGATCAGGGGCCTGGAACATCTGTCCTATGATGAAAGACTGAGAGAGCAGGGCCTGTTCAGCCTGGAGAGGAGAAGGCTGAGAGGGGACCTGAGCAGTGTCTAGAAGTACCTCAAGGGAGGCAGTGAGGAGGATGGTGCTGGCCTCTTTTCAGTGGTGGCCACCAACAGAGCTAGAGGAAATGGCCACAAACTGAAACACCAAAAGTTCCACAGGAACTTAAGGAAAGATTTCTTGACAGTGAGGGTGCCAGAGCACTGGAACAGGCTGCCCAGAGAGGTTGTGGAGTCTCCTTCCCTGGAGATCTTCAAAACCCGCTTACTGTGCCCCATGCTCTAGGTGACCCTGCGTGTGCAGGGGGGTTGGACTACATGATCCTTAAACGTCTCTTCCAACTTTAATGATTCTATGATTTTATGGACTTGTCTGAGCCTCTCTGCTCTTGGCTGTTCCCCATGGCTGGCCTTGCACCATAGCTCAGATATTGTGGTTTGGACTGGCTGATGGAGCCCTGGCTATGATATCTCTGTCCCTTAGAGGATAAAAGAAACTAGGTCTATGTAAATAACTCACTTGTGGCATCCTGGAAGGAAAGTTTCTGGCTGTATTAAATGCATTTTTTGACACTGGAGATCTTGTCTAAGTCTGGAAGTTTTCAATATTCTTCCTTAAATATACGAATCATTTTTTAAAAAAAAAAACCAAAAATCCCCAAAAAATGAAACTTTTTTAATCTATAAAGTATTTACTCAGCCAAAACTCTTTGCTATTGATCTGAACTTATTTTTTTTTCTCCTTCCATGTTAAATACTATTTATTTATTCTGGCACCTAAATTATTATTCTGGAATATAAGTCATCCAAGTTACTGCAGGAATGAAAGGTAACATGCTGTGAGCTCAAAGTGCCTCTTGCTCTAGCTGAAGACCTGACCTGCAATATGTACCTGAACTGGGTCAGAACATAGAAAATAAGTCAGGGAAGATGTAACTTAGTCCTAGACAGAAGTCTAGCTGACACAGGCACACAGCAGTTGGAGGATGGCAAATACCATCCTACCTGACCCTCTGTGACAGTTGCAGAACAGCCCGGCAATATTTTTATAGGCCAACATGCTGACCAAGTACAGTTGCCATATGCTGAGCAAAAGAGAAAGGTATCTAAAGCGACTCTTCCTGCTGCACATTCTAACTGTGACTTCAGCATCTAGTGTTTGCTCAGTGCCCAGACAGTCTGAGATTTATTCAGCCACGGTTAGTAATTAGGTAATTAGACTTTAGGCTTCAAACTAGCAGCACTTCTGCAATTGCTGAACTTACTGTAGTTAACTCTCTTGATTGCTTTGGGATTTCTCAAGGTGGTAAGGCAAATGGCGCATTTGCAGGCCTTAAGCTCAAAAAACACAGAAGCTCCATTGGCAGGAAAGGAAGAAATGAGGCCTGACTTCTTACCTACAGAGCTGTACATACAGTTTTTTTTTTTTTTTTTTTTTGAAGCTGATGCAGGAAAATCACTTTCTTTGTAGAGTATGTTGAGAGACTTGCCTCATTCAGCTATCTACTTCTTCATTAGGATCCTATCTTCTACTTTTAATGGAGGTAGACTTCAGCCAGACCTCTTGATCTCAAAGTATCTCAACTTTGATGTATCCAACTATACTAGAGATAAACAAGACAGTGGTTGTGGGGAACTTAAAATATATTAGCTTGTCTTTTAGGAACACCTGAAGAAAGACTTATGCATAAATTGCCTGTCTACTGTTTCTGACCAACAGTCGTTTGATTACCTGCATTTGGAGACTTTCAAATGCACTTCCACTATATGCACTTGTATTCTTCCACTATAATATGCTGCATCAAGCTGTTGGTTTTCAAAACCCTTAAAAGCAGAACTCATGGTGCAATTATTTGGCTTGCGTTTGGTAAAAAATTTACAACCCTCCTCAGGATTGCAGTACCACTGTTCTGATATCTGACTTTGTGCTGTGTTGCCTGATCTTTAGCCAGGATCCCAGAACACAATGCCTTATGCCTTAGGGAACTTCAAACTGGGAAGCTGAGTAAAGCTTGTAGTAAGGTTGTAACCTTACTACAAGGTTGCCCGGTGAAAACTGAAGAAATTGTGTGCTAACAACGCTCAGTCTGACTACTAAATATTCATAACGAAATTAGATTTTGATTCTACAGGGAGTTTCTTCCTGCTGTTCCTGAAGCTTGTCACATATGGAACCAGTCACATATGCAGCAGAAAGAAAGAAGTTCTTCACTGCCTTACTCTTCCTCTGGTACTACCAAGGTGGCCAGATGGGCTGGGGTATAGGCAGTGTTGATCTATCCCCACTGAAAGCAGAGTAAAAGACTTGCTGGAAACATGGTCTGTCCTAGCATGGTTAACTTTCTATTTGCTTTTTTGTTGTTGTTGTTCTCTCAGGGAGTTTGAGGCATTTCTTCAGAATTTTGCTCTGCTTAAAGGAGATATTTACTAATTGTCACAATAGCACCCTGAAACTAAGAGCATTTCCCTGAAAGTTTTCTAAGGGGGAATATTAAGGAACCCTTATGACATGATAGAAGCAGAAAGGTTTTTTGAACTAAAATAGTAGGAAGTGATACTGTTCATGCTTTGAATGAAGTATAGCTATATCTTCCTAACTTCAAAAAGTGATTCCTAAGTGATTCATCAACTTCAGAGTTTGTTTGGGACTTTTTCCTCGGTCAGTTTAAGGTCAGCTGTTAAAGGAAAATGAGTGACAGTTTTATAAAGCCTTATATAACCTCAATTCCCTCTAACTACAAAACCTACTTTCAGCTCTCGCATTGTTCCAAAGCACCTAAATGAATTCTCTTTGAGATTTCTAATGAATTTGGCCTGGATATTGCAGCTTCAGACTCAAACATTAAGTTTTTAGAAAACTCAAAAGGCTCAAATCGCTGCATTGACAAAACCTTTGCTGCAGATTTCATTAAGCAAAAAATACAGTTTCTAATTTGGTAGAGCTCTTCAGGTTTAAGCTCATGAGTAGATTCATGACAGCCACATAAATAAGAAAGGATAAATATTGTCACTGATGTATCTACTCATGGATTTTAACTCATGGCATACTTGCTTCCTCTCCTTAATAATAGGAAGAAAACCTGGAGGTTATACACATATTCTTAGATTCTTTTTGATGCTTTGAAAATGTAAAGTGACTTTGGAATTGTTAATGTGCCTTACTGCATGTCTAGCAGCTGATCACAAGAAAAAGAAGGTAGGAGGCTGTTGATCGGAAAAAGAGAGGAACACACTTCAAATAATGTCATAGTTAGGCACTATTTTTAGCTCTCTGTTGCTTGAAAGTGGATGTTAATGGCACAGGCAGGTGTAAATCTTTTTTACCCTTAAACTGTATTTAACCTGGTATGGTTTAGAAAAGCCTGCAGTCTGAGAGTATGCATTTTCTTCTTTCTTGATTTCTTTCACCTGAGGAAGTTTCACCTGCATAAAGAGAGATGCTACTTTATACTGAGGTGAAGAAAGAAATCTATGCTTTGGCAAAAAGAAAAACCTCAGTTGTAAAGTTGCTCTTAAGATCCTGTGGGAAATAAAGGAACAGAGTATGCTGCAAGATTATTCTGATCTATAGAAGCCATCCACAACATAAAGCAACACAAATTATTTTAGATGGCATAGCACCCCCATGAGGCCCATTTTTGAATTGACAGAAATATGTCAAAGTTTGGAGAGGCGGCATAAAAAACATAAAGAAAGAGCTACTTACTTGGCTTTGGCACATGTGAAAATAATTTTGTTGAGAATAATAGTGGCTTTGTAAGTAGAGTAGAGAAAAGTGGAATAAAACACAAAAGTGATTTTTTTGGGTGCTCTCTCTCAACAACCGTGTGTGTTTGGTCATCACTATGCATAGGGGAAGATTACCTTATTCCCAAGTGTTATAATGAATATAAGGAGTAATACTGTCAGCCTAGGGGTCTTTCTAAATGCTAGAGATGTCTGAATACTAGCGCCTAATGGCTTAGGGAATTAGGAAGAAGGTATTTTCAACAATTGACTTGCCTTCAGTGAATGATTAGTGAGAGACAATGAACTTGCTTTAAAAGTAAATAAAAAAAAAATTTAGTTCACTTTATTTGGAGAAGAACAAAACCCAGCAATATTTTCAGGATAATATGCAAGCTAGAGACATAAAGCCAGGAAAAACAGCCTTAGCTTGGATCACCCAGAAGTTATATTTTCCAGGGCTGTAACAGCCATGTATACAAAACAGTTGTTTCACTTGCCATGATAGCCAACCACTAAGACTTACTTCACTCTATGCTTATGAATGTGCTGCTATTTTATGCCCTTTTCAGGCATGCTAAACTTTTCATCTAGTAGAGGACATTCTGGATTTTCAGATCCAGTCCGTTTAGTGCCTCAAACCTCTCTACATTACAGGTTGAGATGAATTCTTTAGTCAGCTTTTTCCCCTTTCTCTGAGTACAGAGAAAAATTCAAAAGATGTCACTCAGCCCAAGAAACAAGCTGCTGATCTAACTAGTTATATTTGAATTTGGGTCTCCATGAGCCAAATATCTAACAAACTTCTTAATTTGTTAGGACACTTCAAATCCAGAGCACCATTTAGCAACAAGACCAAACAGTTTTGCAGTCTCTGTTTTCACATGTTATGTAGTACTGCTTTGCTGTCAGCTGTACCTAGTGGTAGCCTTCAAGTTTTGACTAGATGCATCTTAAACTACTGTTTAAGCAACCTTGGATTATTTTTTGTCTGTGAAATAATAGCGTGCAATTCGTGTGCACTTATTGCTACCTATAGCATATGAGCTGCAGAGTGCCAGCTTCTAAGTGAATTCCAAATGAACACAGGGCCCCACATGCATTATAAGAGAGCAAAGCTCTTACAATTACATGGTGAACTGGATTCCAACACAGGGAATGTTCACAGGGAACACAGGACCCCACATGCACTATAAGAGAGGAAAGCTCTTACAATTACATGGTGAACTGGTCAGAGCAGGGGAATTCTAGTCCTCATTTTCCTGTGCATTTCTTGGGTGATCTGTGACAAATTCTTTATTGTTCTCAAAAGGGGCTGCTTCAGTTCTGGACTGCTCAATTTAACATGCCTATCCTGTCATATCTGAGGCACTGAATGCCAATATTTATGCAAAGCTGGAGATTGATGGCACATTAGAGCTTTGATCCTATGTATCTCAAAATCAGTCTCAGTGTCTGTTACAAACTTAAAGGCCTAGGCATTAGACCTAGGCTCTGTGTCTCTTTCTCCTTCTATTCTGAAAATGCTGAATATATT